GAGTCAGACCCAGAGAGCCCGAGAATGATCGCAGCCCAAGAGCGGGAGCCTGAGAGCTCTCGCAGCAGATTCCGAGCAAACCCTACCAGCGACAGCATGACCGGGAAAACTAAACAAACCCACAAACTTCCTCACGAATAAGCCAGCACAGGAGTCAGCAAAGCAGCTAACGCAGGAGTCAGGGAGAGTGTTAGCAAGTGGATGGGAGCGAACGAGCAAGAGAGGAAGGGGAAGATGGCTCCCAGACCCCCTCCTCGCCTCTGCCCTGAGCATGACGTACTATGGAATGAAATACTTCCTTGGTCAGTTTGGGTCAGCTGCCTGAACTGTGTGTCCCCTGCACTGCCCGTAGCGAGACAGAGCTGGGAACGCAGCTGCAGTATCATGAGCAGAGAAAGACCTTGAATTCAGTGCAGGCATTCCCCAGTGCCAGCTAAGAACTTATCAGTCCAGGAACACAGCTTCCTAGCAGCCACGGTAAAGAAAGTTAACTCTTTCCTGACTGAATCCAGCACAAAATCTTAGTTCTATGGGAAATAGTTTGGCACTGAAATAAATAAGCATGTATGCTTAATGTGCTATTTCACTTTTACAGCAGTGCCTAAAGAAAGCTATACCTCAGATGCGAATACATCAAATCTCTGCCCACGTGGGATATATTAGCTTTTCTGTTAATAAAGGATCCAGAATTTAATGTTAGGTTAAAATATTAGATGTCTCATCATGGAATATTAATTCAAATTAGCAACTCTTTAAACTAGCTAGGAAAGACTAAGAGACCACTAAAGCAGGATATTTGAGGACACTAATGTGATTTTTTTTTTTCTCCTGAAGAATCAGAAAAACAGGAAATAAACACCTGTGTTGGTGACAGTCAGTAGACTTCTAGCAGTTTTGCTCTGTTCCTGTGGAAAAGTCAGAGTCATTATCCACAGGGCTAATCTAGTAGTGGTTTTATAAAGATTCTTATGCAGCCAGGCAGGAGCAGGAGTGATTCCTGTACAACACTGTGTGACAGTGCCAAACTGAATTTTACAGTGGAAGTTAATCCTGTGTGGTCAGAAAGAAAGGATGCAAAAATGAAATCCTTGTAGAAGTATCTAACTAGTGACTAAAGAGTTGCAGGTTCATGTAGATGATGGGGTACATCACAGTATTTCTGATTGCTGCAAGAGACATGGAGCAGTGTGTGTAAACAAATACATGCCTGCAGTGGAAGGCAGGAAGAAGGGAGCATGAAAGAAGCTCACATTTGTATTTCTTGGATTCCTAAATTTGAGCAAATCTCAGATTTCAATGTACATAACACTTCACAGGCCTACAAGGAAATCAAGATGCCTCCAAAAAAAAATAAAAGCCAAGTACAGGACTGCATATTAAAGAATCATCTCTGTCTGCACAAACATTCTTAAACTGAAAGAGCTTAAAATTAAGTAGCTAGTACTGCTAATGAAATTAAACCCAGAATTCTTCTCTACATCCTACTTGGAAAACAGTGTATTTCAGTACTTCTGAGTAATGATAGAGAGCCGAAGATTTCTAATATCTAAAAAGATATGTAATTTTCTCTGTAAAAAAAATTTAGCATAAAAATGTTTCAATAAATACCTCCCAGCCAAGACCAGCCACAAAATCCTCATAGGCCTGACTTCCCCCAGTATTAGTAAGAATGGAGTGTTTGTCTTCTTGTCCCTCAGCAACATAAAACACTGCGATCTTGTGTGTCTCTCGGCTGTAAAACAGAGGATGGTGACTTCATGACAGTGCCTTTACTAATATGAAACCAAAATATGCAAACAGTCACACAGAGCATGGCTTTTAAAACATCGAAAAAGATAGTGGAAATACGGTACAACTATATAGCTTCTGTCTGTATACCTTCTATACTTCCATATTCCCATTCTATCTTTTCAAGTCTGGTCTCTGGAGCCTAAAGTTTTGTTATACATGAACAGCATTTACCCCTTCATTACTTCTAAGATGCAGGATAGTGCTGGCAGTACCAATTGGTAATGGAATAGCTGGGCTTCTGAAATGAGTAAAACCTCTAATACAGGCATTACTGACACTGCACTGTCCATTAACAATAGTGCCTTGTGAATACTGGGGCAAATGCAGCTTATGCAACTGAACAAAGTACTGTAGCATGTTCTGTTCACAGCTTGCTGCTAGACACTGGAGCAATTGAAGGTGGTTTCTCACACTTCTAAAACCTCCACTGGATTTTAATTCAACTTCTACAAAATTCAAAATTTTTAATTCTGTGCTACAACTTCAACTAGAACTCCATGTCCTCAAACACTAACAGCATTGGACAACAGTTAGCCGATGACTAAAGTGTGGAGCCTTTGATCTATCAATATTTTAAAACTATTTCATGTTATGCATACAAATATTAATAATTTTAATGTTTTTTTTCTATTCTAAGTTTGTTCTATCTCATGATACTCTGCTTCAATAACTACAATACAGTGCAAAATACATGAATAATTTACAAAATTATTTTAAAAATTAGTTCAATTCTCACATCTGTGCACTTAGAACCAAATAAATACAAGCATATTTAAAATAAGTAAGTAGGTGGCAATTAAAAGAATTTACCATTGTCTTGAGTCCAAATTCCTGAGTTCTCGAAGTAACTTTTCATTTTTCTTCAGGAGATGAAAGCTCCTTCTAAATACAGAAATTTGTAACTCTTACCACCTGTTCACTGATGGATACAGAACAGTACAAGAACTGACAAGAACATTTCCAGGTCCATTCAAGAACATTTAACAAATGCTTCTGCCTTTTCAATAGTACTGTCTCATAAAAATATCAAGATATCTTTAAAAAAATACACAATTTTTTTTTTTTTTTTAAATTTCAGGAAATATCCATTCCAGCCACTCTATCCATTCTAGCCCTGAATACAAACTTTATTTCTTTCCACTTTCTTCTGTCAACCTATTGGATCCAACTGCAATCAATGTCTCCTCTACAGAACAGACAGAACTCTCTTTGAAGCATACAAGCCGCACACTTTACTAGGCCATAATGTATGTTTAGTGACAAAAGACACTCCCATAATCCACTGTCCTAGGGAGCTAGTGCATTAAACACAGAGCTTTTGCTATACTGAATTGCAGAAGAGAGCAGAACATAGCTCTCCAGTCACTCAGTCAGCTGTAACAATTTAAAGAAAAAACAAAACAATATGCTAGAGCTAGAAAGGAACTTTTAATTTCTTTTAAAACACGCTTAAGATGTTTCCCATAAAACACAGTAGAATGAGTTTAAGAGCAGTACTGTGCAAAACCAGACTGCCTTGAGGCAAAAAGACCCAAACAGGAAGGGTCATACCCCAAAATTTTCTCTGATTCAGTGATATCTCAGTGACACAGGTGTTTCGGGTTTTTTTTTTGTTTTTTTTTTTTTTTACAGAATATCCATTTCCCTTCATAGTAAGAAAATATTTCAATGCCTCCAATATGGAATTTGACAGCTATGGCAAAAGAAGATTTCAGAAAGATCCTTAAATTCTAGGATGCTAATGTCTGTACATACTCACATGTATATGCAGACACACACCTAACTACAGCTACACAAAATTAATAATGTAAACAGACACATTACTTATTTAACTGAACATGGCTCATCTCGTGTTGTTCTAAACAACACCTAAACAATACCAATGTTGAAATAAACAGGGGACACATCTTTCTTGTTAGCTAACACAGATGCAGTGCTTTGCGGCTGCATGCAAGCATGCTCAGCATGCAAGCAGCAGGACAATAGCCGAGAATATGACACTTTCAGAGTCTCATTCTGGCACAGAATGGTAATTATTTCTGCAGTAACATACATGGGAAGCAAAGAAAGCAAAAAAGATGCCTTCTTTACCCATGGTAGTACCCCTTAGTACAGCTGGTGAAAGGATTATTTGAAAAGATATCACTCATTCAATTGCCTTCCAACACTGGTCTCAGGAAAGACTATAAATAGCAATAAAAGTGACAGGTTCCTCCTTTCTGTCTCTCTAAATGACAGGTTGAAATGCAGAAGAAAACTGCCATTTTCCCCTTAGTTGCACATCCCCTCTCCTCTTTTGTTGGCTGGCCCGGAGTATTCTGGGCTTAAGTTTCTCTATGATCAACTATTACTACATGGTAAGAATGGCACAATTCCTTAAATGAAAGTTCTTAAATTGTGGATCTTTTCTTTTTACCTTTTATCCCAAGAATTCATTCCCAGTATACTGAGAAGTAATCTGCAATAGTAAAATGCTGACTGGGGCTTTTGTGAAGTTGGCTCGTCCTGCTCCATAGCCCTCATATTTAAATCACAGAAATGCTTTTCAACAAACTCCCTCTCTTCTGTGTGCTGTTTCAGAATTGCATTGATGACATCGTTCTCCTGCTTCTCTGAGATGTGAATGTTAAGAGAGACACCAGTTCTCTGTAAGCATTCAGGGCTTGTAACACCTAAATACTGCAGGAGCTCATCAAGCGCATCTTCTTCATCCTTAATGGTATCCCATGTTGGTACAGTGTCTCTAAATGTCCTTTTTACTTGGAGTGTATTTCCATCCCTTGCAAATACATCCTCCACATGCTCAAAAGATGAAAGAGCATCTTCTGGTTTATCTTGTTGAGATAATGAAAGTGCAAAAGATGTTTGTTGTGAAGAGCCACATAAAGATGATGGTCCATACAAAATGGCTGAATCCCACGAGTATTTGCCAGATAGGTCGCGTACTATAATTCTAACATTTGAATTAGCAGATGCAAGTCCAGCAGACAGTCCTCCGCCAGGCATGTCATCTTCTGCTTGGATTTGTATGCAAGACACCAGGGAAGTATTGTTTAACACAAAGAATTGAAGGTTTGGCTTCTCAAAAAGTTCAGGAGAAAGTTCAGGACTTTCACTGTATGGATTGTCGTTGTTTTCACACACTTGACTGGTTAGCATAGCAGGACCTCCACTCATAGGATAGTGGCCTAAGTGGTTGACTAGATGTGCTATCACAGTACGAGCAGCAACAGAAATTAATCCTTGTTGCATGTGAGTTTTCACTGCAAGAGAAAGAACAAGGTTTTAAAACTAGAGTTCAAAGAACAACACTGAGATTTATGTATTTCTTTTGTTGTCCTCTTCCTCGTGATTCTTAAACAGAGGATGAGCAATGCAAGGTTAGGATACAGCCAACTCAGTAATGCAAAATACATATTTTGACGAATACCTGTCTCATATATAAATAGCATGAAAAACCCTAAGACAGTTAAAGAAGCATCTTCACTATTTTACAGCCTACCATACCACCTGAACATAGGTTTGTAATCAGCATAGTTAATCTAAAATACAGTTTTTTAATCTAGTGAAAATAAACTGCTGATGAAGTAGAGTCATAATTGTGTTGTAAGAAGTCCATTTCCAACTGCAATGGATTTTATATTTATACACATCATTACATTGTGAAAAACAAAGGAACATAGATGCACAAAAGCTCTAATCCATCTTAATTTCCCTGGGGAGCACATAGCTGCAGGTTAGTTTGAGAATAATACTGGATGACTTTAAAATACCAAATCAAAGACCGAGTGATATATACTGAACACAATCTAAAAGCAGCAAAATTTTAAAAAGGCAAACCTCATGCTCCCACTGTATTTTAAGAAGTTTTAGTCTAGAGGGAGAAAACTTAGCTTGGAGGGAGAAAGAGAAATTAATTGTACCTATCTTTTGCAAAATTCATCCTGTGAGATGTACTGGCATTTCAATATGGTTCTGCCACATCCTCCTTTGTTGCATACCTTCCATTTGCATGCAACGTTATCTAAATTCACAAAAGGAATTTCTTAATATTTATACCACGCCCTGCTAACTGTGTACCTTCTTGGCACTGGATTCTTCTATCAAATCCACTTTACATTACTCATAAAGTAAAGCTGATCAAAATGATTCTGTCAGGCAGACAACCCTCAACTGGCTCAGGGTATCTGCTGAAGAATCCAGACACAAAGGTACTACACTGTAGAAGATCACAGGTAGAGAAAACAGGATCAACACGGCAAAACATATATTTCTGCAGCCTCCATCTTTTAAGACCTGTATGCCATGAGTTTAGGATTTACAAGGGAGGATAAATGAAGACTGTATTCCTCAGGATTACATATTTGAAACTGTATTAAACACAGAAAACTGCTGCAAACACTTCCCAACTTCTCACCAAAAAATCCATCAAAGTGGAATGTTCTGAACCACATTACTTTTTCACTCAGTATTTACAGAGAAAATGTAAACTCTTGGACATGTGAGTATTGTATAATGAACTCATCTCCCTTTATATTGTGTATTTATACACAATAAAAACTACTGTTTAATGAACAAATTTCTTTTTGCAGTTTAAGGTGTCTTAATTAGTTTAACTGGAAAAACAAAAGCAAATTTGTAATGCATTCTGACTGTAATGACAGATCATTAGTTTCTGAAGCACTGGATGAATTCTGCATCTGCAAAATAAACAGTTAGTATATCTCCCCCTTTTTTTTTTGTCCCCACCAGGTTAGAGTAAAGCATGTAAGAGACATTTGGGATTCTGACTCTTCTCTACCTTTAGGGAGCACTAGATCTGAACTGCAAAAAAGGGAAACATTTCATCCTGTTAATAGCTGGCAAAATCAACATAGCTTTTGCAATATTCCAAACCTCAAATAAACTCAAATATTTTAATAAATTAAGGCCTTGAAAACTAATAGAAACAAATTAGATATTACATTTTTATTATCTGTAACATTCTTGAGGTTTGAAAATTTACAAAGACAACAATATTCCATGAAGCTGAATTAAATGTCCAGATATTGATAGCGTATAAGGAAATTAAGTTATAGTGCCATCTGCTGAAATACAACAAAGAACTGTAAGTTAGTTTATACAAGACAAAGAGAAAGTAAGTTGGATGCTTGAAGAATAATTTATCAGTGCAGTACTAACCAGCACCTGGACAATGCAGACACTGGCTCATCTCTGTCAGGATATTTATGCCAAGTGTTAAGCACTTGGCATTGAACAGATAACTAAGGCAATGCTCTTCACAGGTTCCTAGGAGCACAGACATGCTCTTAACATGATTCACACTTAACAGATTCCTTGTGAGAGATGGCACTTGGAAGGTTACTGAACAAGAGGGGCAAGTCCTCTCTCCTACACTACCTGTTTCCAGATGATTTAGCAAATCTTTGCCCTGCCATTTATTGCAGAGCTTGCTTCAGCCTCTCAAAAGATCCTGTCCCCACTACCAGCTCTATCACTAAAACTCCCATCTACATGGTCTCATATCGCATCATACTGGTAAGCATCCATAAAATTTGTGATGGCTCTGACCTTGAACAATGGAAGGCATAAGAGGGTATTGTCAAAAGTACTCTGTTTTAAGAATTCTGGCATTTTCATACTTTCAGATGTGCTTGTGACTTAAGGAAAGAGTATAGCAATCCCCACCCTACCTGCCATCCTGCTCATTTCCACTCCTTCAGAAATGATACCATGATACCATTTTTACTCTACTAAAAAACAGGTTGACCACTGACATACTGCTCTGCTGCTAGCTTGCACTAATTGACCCCGTGTCTTGATCAAGTCCCAGACTGGTTGTTATCCACTAACTTTACTCCTCTCACTCCTCCAACAATCCCAGGGAGAGCACACTTTGTGCAATCAGTTAAGCACTGCCAATTTTATTCTCTGCCTGGCAATGCAGACTAGAAGTGCCAAGGTTACAAGACCAGGGTTACATTATAATGCTGTAGTTTGCTAATTAAATTTCACGATCTGACTTACAATTCCAGAGCCCTGAAACTTAAAAAATATATGGGGCTTTCTTAATTCATCTGGAGAGATAAAAGGAATATCTGAAATTACTTTTATTTAGAAATTTAATAAGAAATCATAAAAGAACCAATCACGAATGGAAATGCAAAATGAAGATATCAATGCTAAGGCTTTGTGCAACTACATTCATTTAAAGAGAAATCTATTCAGGGTTGTTTTTTCAGATTGTCAAGATTAAACAAGCCACACAGCATTTGCTGCTAACCCATAATTACAGATTATTACAGAATACAAAAGATACCAGGAATAAAAGCTACTACAATTCACTACACTGTAATAGAACATGCAGTGGGAGTTAATTTTGGCAAATGCTTTAAATATTAGCTTTACATAATATGTATAGGTGAGACTGTAATTAGGACAGAATGAATCCTTCAAAGCCTCTTTCATGCTGACCCAACAGATGATTACTTTTTACTAATAAGAACACAGCCATTTGACAAAAAGCCAACTATAGCACCTTACTTCATTCTTCAGTAAATTTAATAATTACAGCTCCTCCTGCCAACAGTTCTCAAATCAGACTTGCTCAATCCAACACTGAGCTTATTAGGGGACAGCTCTATGTTTAGAATTCTTTGGCCAAAAAAAGTACTTGAGGATGATGAAGCATGCCTTAGACAAGGGCACAATGATTAGCCATTTTCTCCTCATAAAAAACAGCACGTAGTTGCTACAGACCACAAAATCACCTGCTGTTAGCACACAGCTGCTACAAAGAGCTTCTGCATTTATCTGGTTCTTAATACCTTTAAGGAAGCCTAAATGGAACAACTTAATATGGAGGGAGAATAGCACCACAGTGTTTCTGGTATCACTATTAATCTTTTTCAATTTTCTTCTCAATGTAGCCATTTGATATTTATTAGATACACTGCGTAATATATGCTGCTTTGTAGCTTAGTTTCTTGAGTCTTTATTTTTTATTTTTGAGTTCTGAAGAAAATGGTAATTCCCAGGTCTCTTAAAGTTCTAAGCAGATACATTTCCGCTCTTTCTAGATAACTTCGTTGTTTTAAACAGCATAACGAGATTGACAACAAATTATGATAGGTTAAAAAAATTTAGAGAGCTTTCAGTAGTGCAAGATCAGATAGGAAAAAAATCCAAAATATTCTTAGAAAAAGGAGCAAGATTAAGAAAAAATACATCAAATTACTGAAAGTAAAATTAAAAGCAACATTTATCCATGTTGCAGTACTTAACACTTTATGTTGATACACAGAGCACAGAAGAATCAACATCAAATTGATCTTCATATATTCGGAAGATATTACTTCAGTTAATCAAACAGCAATTGCTCAAAATTACGTCAGCTCATTCCATACTAATGGTTCTTACCTAGTGTCTAGGTATAATTTAAAATTTAGGCTTCAGACAAACACTTCAATACTGGAAACCAAGATAAAACTTTTTTGAAAGAAAATGTATTCAGGCAATCTGACAAACCTTCAGTGACTGGCTGAAGTTTAGAAGACCTCTCTGAGTCTGGAGAATGCAGTGGTTCTGGTTCCTTCAAGCTTTCTAAATGCATAAAAGGATCATAATCCACACATGCCAAATCAGAAAGGCTTAGAGGAAAATATTTAGGGTTGGTAAAACACTGAGATCCATAAACACATCCATGCAAAACCTAGAACAGTACAAGAATTTCAAGACATTACTGACATTTCTACTTGGTAGTTTTATCATAAACACAATTTATCTTTATTTACATATTTAATTGATTTGTTAGAACCAGGCAGGCAGGCAAAATATTGGAGAATTTTAGGTTCTTAATTTTTACAGAAACAAACACCAGTTTGCAAAGAAAACTGTTGAAATTTGTCTACACTGAAGTGGAATTTAACAATAAAGAAACAAGAAACAAAACTTACAACAAATCACTAAGCTACCTTTATTTTTAGATCTGCTATCTTCTTTAATTATGTATGTTAGGTCTAAGCTGCTGGAGGTTTTAATCCTCTTCCCTTGAAAAAAAAACAAACAAAAAAACAAACAAAAAAAAAACCACCCCAACTATCTTTGTTCTGTGTCCCTACAGACAGCAATTATAACTTAGTGTATTTTACTTTGCTTATTGCTAAATAAAATTACTTGGTATAAAAAAGCTACTTCCTCATCTGTCTTAAATACATAGCTGGCCTTCTACAACACAAGCATCTGCTATCAGTATGACATACAAAATGTAGCTTGCTTAAACATCACAAAATATAACACAAACTTACCAGTTCCAAAGAGACCAAAGATCAAGAATTTACAGTAAAACATACAAGAACTAAGACAGCACTCCACTTTTCAGCAGTAGAACAGAGGTCAGCATACAGTAAAGTTCTGTCTTCTTTTCCAGGAAAACTGACACTACCTCCCATAAACAGACATTTTCATTTAGTGAGTAAAGAAACATGTACCTTATATATACAATTAAGAACAGATCTTTCAGTCTTATCATTTTCTGCTCCTGTAGTGTGAAGAGGCTGCAGCAAGGTCTTTAATGGCAAGGCCATTATCCAATCCAATAAACACAGAAGTAAAGAAACCACCAACTGAAACAAACACTTTCAATTACAAATCAATTAAACCAGCAACTGGTACTTCACATTTATCACTGTATTTTACTTCGTTTTCTGAATTCGGTAGTCAGCCTTCTGTAGTAATGGCAGGTCACACTTGTTTAAAAGCGAATGTACCTCCAAAATGTATGGCATCAGTAAAAGCTTTGGCTACTGAGATATTTAACAAAGACAATCCATACAACAGTTTCTAATCATAGTAAGTAAGTGAGCAGATACTGTGTTTAAGAGGATACCCACGATTTTTCAAAATTGATTTGTAGGGTGTTGTTTTTAAAATTACAGATTACACTGGTACAAATTAAGGCTGATGCACCACTCTGCACATAAATCTCACTGCAAAGTGAATCCCGGATTACACAAAACTGAACTGTTTCAGTTGCATTTAGTGTTTCATAAATAACACAGAATTTCCTTCACAACATGTCAATAACTAGGCAGCACCTGCTATCACCTGAAAGAAATACAACTGCTTTCTGTATTGTAGGCTACTCAATCAGCAAAAGAACCAACTCCCTCTAGGGTATGTTTTTAAAGACTGTAGAACAGAATTAGATTTAGACACATACACACAAAATTATCAACAACTTACTGGTTTCAAATAATTATTTTTAATTTTTAAAACTTAGCTGTGGAAGAGAAAATGGTTCAGACAAATATCTGCAAGATTCTCTAAAATATTTCCCAAGTTAAATAAAAGTCTTTCAAAGGAAATCCACTTAACTAATTTACTAATAAATGACATCTAAACATCATACTCATTTCACATAATACATTACAACTTTTCTCTCAGAGGCACCATATAATAACCCTAATGATGAAGGGCTCTGAGTATTTTTATACTAAACCAATTCTTAAGAAACCCATTAGGACAAAGTTTGTCAAACCAGGTAAGCCAATTTTTAATAGGATATTTGATGCACAACGATCAGCATTAGTTCATGGGGAAACTTACTGACTTAGGGAAAGCATCTCAAGTGGAAAGGTGGCTTGGTATACTGCTGTAGTCTACAACAGCCACTGCCTCGTCACAAGCAGAGAAGAGAGGCAACACGGAGCTAGCCTGCCTTGAATTTCCAGAACAACAGAGCTGCCATTGACAAACTGCACCAAAGTGCCCAAGTTTAAATGACCATTGTGTCCCACAGTTCTAGAGCAAAGTCAAATAATTCAGAAGAGAGACAGCTTTCAGGAGGCAGGAAGTACTACTGCATCAGGTGGAGAAGGAGTCCGTCTTACCTAGGGGACTCAGGTCCATGGAAAATATGAAAAGATAAGCGAACATACTGAAGGATGACAATAATCATATTCATCCAAAGATGACAGGCTTTCTTGATCAAGAATATACTTATAATAGGGCAAAAAATCATAATCTTGCAGAGAACACCGACCAAAATACTTACAATTTGCGAATATATTTTCACTACAAGTTTGAAAAGTCTACGTTACTTTCTTGGCTTGTAAGTTACACTGAGGATAAGGAAAATTATTGTTTCCAATAATTAGAAAGTCTTCTATCTCAATTAATTTAAATGCATATTTTTCCTACAAAAACTTCAGAAATTCACTTGCAGAAAGAATATTGCTGGCATTCTATAAGAACAATAAAACGCCGAATCCCTGCTTCACAAGGCAGAGCTTAAATTTTTCAACACCACGATGTCACACACCTTTGCAACTAAACTGACACATTAAAAAGAAATGAAAAATATTTACCCTCTTGTCCTGTTCATAAGAGGAAGCTTCTGTACTGGGTAGCAGATGGGCAATAGTTGCTATAAGAATCTGGAAAAAATATAGCACAGTTTCTTTAAAAATACAATTTAAATATTTAAGTTTAAAATATTTTTTTAAAGCAGGTAAATGTGACACAACACTAGATTTGTGGTTTAATTCTGTTATTTGAGACAAAGTATGCTACTCCTTGCCTTTTTAATTAAATTTCACAGACGACACAGAAGGAATATGTTCTGCTTGACTGATGTAGGTCAGTAGGGACAATGAAATTATACACCAACTCCAAAAATTCAGGTAGGAAGAGAACTTGATTCAACACAATTGTAGGGTGCAAGAAGGAGCCTGATGTGGGTTTGTGTATGGGACTATTTGAGCTATGTTAATTCTTAGAACTACTAGAATTTGTAAACATGCTGCCTCCACTTCATTAACAATATGACTGCAGAGGAGCAGAGAAATGCCTGCTATACCTCTCAAGAAGCTTCCACACAATTCTCTTTCTGGTTACCTGGGAGACCTCCATCTTTTCTCTGTGGTTCAGACACACAGAGACCACCACCTACTTCCTTGTTATTTAAAATGTATTCAAAATAATTGTTTTTGCTATATACTGAAACACTTTAATGCAGTCTTTTGCATACAGATATGCAAAATTCAGTTGTAGATCCGTATTTGAAATAATCACTTTCTTAATAAACTTAAGCATATTTGAAGATATTCAATGTTAAAAAAAATTGCTTTTACTGACAACATTCTCATGTAAATAATTACATAGCTGTATCTGAAAAAAGCATGACATAGCCATTTTACATGTTAATATTGGAGTCAGTGTGATGAGAACCCCTACTGTTAATGTTCAGTACAATTATGTTTATACTAATTCAATAGTTTGTGAAACATACTTGTCAATATTATGGTACTTTAATTTCAGGGAAAAACATTTTACTGTTGCATTTAAAAGAATTAAGATTTCAAATAAAAAAAAACGTACTTGAATAATTCTTAAAGGCGAATCAGCTTGATACATCTGAAGTCTATGTACATAATGTATCAGCATGCTCAGCATACTGCAGGCAACTTGGGCTACTGTTTTATTTGGAAACTAGAAAAGAGAACACAGCACAGTAACAATGACTACATGATATTACAGATGAGTATGTCAGATGATAAGGTGGTCAAGAATTTCAGTGATGGTTTTATACATATGTAGTTCCTTATGTACCTATTTACAGGAGAAACAAAATTAAAATTTACAAAATTTAAAGTGATTATTTTATAGTCATAAACAAACATTAGCAGATTTCATTGAAATTTGGGACAATCAGTGAATGCAATGAGGCAAAAGGGAGAGGCGTCTCATAACTAACTTCATACTGATTGGTATCATGAAGACAGGAAGAACCAGTTCATTTCTTGTTCCCTTAATCATTGAAATTAACGCATCACTGCAAAAAACCAAGGATCCAATTCTGAAATCAGAAGTCTTTGTGGAACCAAGGTAGGTCAACAGCTGTGTATCCAAAATGCACGATACAGTTCTAATAGTGAGACTAACTGTTCTGTATTTGGTAGTAACTGCTGTGGACAGCACTTCCCTGAACAGAAATGAATGCACCTTGGCTGTTGTACTTAATTCCTCCTTTTCTTTTTAATTTAAAGGCAGGAGAACAGTGCTGCACTGAAGCCTGCTTTTAGCAGTTACCAAAATGTTTAAATTACTGTGTTGGTCAAGGCAAAAGTGAATGTATTTGTACAATTAGTCCCCAGCCTTGGGACACTGCCCTACAATCCTAAGTGGGAAAACAAAGAAATGAAGAGACATGGATACATATTCTTAAATTATTAATGAATGGGACATGTAACTGAGGCTTCTTCCTTCATAGCACCTGCTCTAAAACATTAAGCTGTGCACCAAACAAGCAGCACAAAGTGAGTTTAATTCACCTAGGACATGAAAATCCTACAAAGCTGAACTTCAGAGAAATCTGAGCAAAATGGTTATTAGTACAGCAAAACTACAGACTTCAGAAGACAGCATAAACTATACAGAATAAAAAATAACATGCAACAGGCCCAAAGGAAAAATTTCAAATGCATTCTTATTCAAAAAAATACTCTGTCTTTACTGAGAACAAGTATTCCAAAACATAAGTGATGAATTTCAGATAATTCAGAAACAATTAGGTAATTCATGCTAATGAAAATCCTGAAAAATCCTATTCTATTCCTCCAGTGAACAAGTGATATCAGAATTCCTGCATTATTAAAAGAATAAAAATGTCATGATGTGTTTTAATACCACTTTACTTAGCAGTGAAGCTGTCAGAGGTGTGTGCTGCAAGGTTGCTAAATGCCTACCTCTGAACTCAGAAAAGGGTAAATTACACCGCAAAAATACTTAAGATTTAATTTCTTGGTTTCTTAGACTGTTGTCTTAATCAATCCAGTCCTATTAAACTTCCAGGGAAAGGTGCATGTCACAAACCTTAAAAAAAACCCAAAAAACAACAAACCAAAAAAACCAAAGTTTTAAGAAAGCTAAAATACCTGCGCAATGAAACCTGAGCAGAAAATTAAGAATCTCAGAATAAAAGTTTTGAATGGTAAAAATTTAAAGGTGGAAAATACACTGGAAAAAAACTGCACTGTGCCAGCTTCTTATCAAAGTAAAGCTATAATTTTTTTACATTTGAAGGTCTTGAAAAGAAAAGGTACAAGCATAAGCAAAAGTATGGAGTATGAAGCTTTAACTAGCATTTGTTATTTGTGGTATCTATGTAAGCATAAAGAAAGACTATGAATGCCTCTTATAAGTCAGCCACAGAGACAGAAATCAGAGTACACAGAGTAGTTAATTCTTTTTCTGACTTCCTCTGTTTCTCAGTGGACTGCTTCACGTTATTGTCGACTTTTAACTAAAACATAGCAGACATCTTACATCTGCAAAAGTCTTCCCAGAGCTTATGACAAGAACACTGTCATTTTTTATCCCTGTGAAAGTACATTGTAAGACCACAGTAAGCAGGATACAAATTCTAATGTTGAAGCTCAAGTGACAACCAAAAAAAAAAAAAATTAAAGTGAACGCATAACAATTTGATTATAAAACTTGAGATCAAATCCATATTGCTGGAAACATCCTTAGAAGCTTGACAGAGTATCCACATCACTTAATTTAAGAAAAAATTACCTAAGAAAAAGGCTTGGAAACTTTTCAGAGTCTTTGAATAACCAGCCGTTTACTACTTAAAACCAGACAGCCTTTCCTTAATTCATTTTGTTTGGGGGAGGTGTGTGTGGGGGGAGGGGTGTTTGGGTGTTTCTGGGTTGGGTGATTTGTTGTGGTGGTGGTTTTTTTTGTTTGTTTGTTTGTTTTTTTTAAAAGAGGATCATGAAGACAAGTGAATGATTTCTAGTAAATTCAAATTATATAAATTTGCATTTACATAATGCAAATTATGTAACTTCTTTCTGTTCTCTGGCTGAAGAGATTGTTTTTTTTAAATTTAATAAAGGGAACGAGTCAGTGGAGACAAAATTTCACAAAAAGGCTGAAGGGTATAAAGTAACGGATATTAATTAAATTCAAATCTTGTGCACTCAGTTTCAAGTGAACTGACACTTTGCCTGGTACCTAGCTCTCAGGGGTTCTCAGAAGGGTAGTCTTACCATACTTTTCATCTTTGCAAGGGTCCTTTTCTTTCTGCATGTTACATTAGTAGTTTAACCTTGTTCATACGTGCAAATAACCTATGTTCAGCACTTGTTCAATCATGCCTGTACAACACAATTTTGTAATGTATCTGCAGCATTTTTGAGAGGAGCATAATATAAATATGAGGTGCAGAGGTCTGGATGCCTGGTTAAGATTCTCTGCAGTCAGACCAGCAGAGGTTAATAGCAGCATTGCCACACTGCTGGGAGTAGTGCTAGCTATAGTCAGAGTGAATTGCAGGATGAAGTTCTGAATATGCTTCTGTATTTCAGAAACAGGTTATGCAAATGTTAGCAATTCAACGTTACCTGCTCAATTGAACTTGCCAATAAATCGGACTAGGTCTATAGGTCATATATATCCATTCATTTCTCCTGAAAATAAGAAAATCATCCATTCTGGGAGTTCAAATCTCTGACTATTTGGAAGTCAAGACATTGCTTAGGTTTGTTGCTAACAAACTGAGCTAATGTGTTTCTCCCATGACATATTTTTGAACTTTCCATTGCCTGATTAAACTCCTTTGTGAATGTATACCACAGCTCAGAACAGGTGAAAAGCCAACATGCTCTGGATACTTTTGCCAACACAAAGCAAAGCAAAGTATAAATATAAAGATCTTTTTCTTCTAATTCAATAAGTATTTTATGCTTAATATAAATGAGCCGCAACTGGTTTAATAAATACGTCAAAGAAAAATAAGATCACAGTGAATGTCAGGATTAAAAGTAGTTCAAATTTTCGTAAATTGCAGAAGATAAAACCAGCATAATTTGCTTAATACCAAAATTGCACAGGAACTTGATAAAACGTACTAGTTAAACAATATTAAAAAGCAAGTGGAAAACATGGAAGAGAGTATTAGTGAAGCTGTAAAGGATGAAAGTGATTTGCAAAAACAGCAACTTGCAATTTAGAGTTTAATACTAAAAGCCCTGCAGCTACCCAGTTTAGACACAGACTCAAATCCTGTTTCACAGGATGTAATCAGCTGACTTGCTAAGATACTTTTCAGATTCCCATTGTTGAAATGAAGTTAGTTCACAACATCTGACATAAGCCATGTATAACAAGTGCATATCCTGATTTTTATCAACATGTACATACAGAGAAACTAGACTTGAATCTTGATGGAAAAAGAGGATGCAAAAAGGTTTTGAAAATAAACTGGGAAATATTTATAAAGTTGAAGATATTGTTTACAAACATGCAAGTTTGCATAATGCTAGAAAATAAAATTTTTTAATAATATTCTAATTATTCCATAAATATGAACAAATAGGAAAAATACTTGCAAAGCAGGAAAACAAACACACTCATCAAGGGGGAAAAAAAGCCAAAAAAGCACAGCTCTTTAACAGAGATGATGACAGGAACATACTGTTGATATACTACCACCAATACAAAAACTGGCAACCAAAGCTGAAATTCAGTGAGACTAGTTTCAGAATAGTGAAAACTGTCATTCACAAAAGGAAAGGCACACAAATGTCAGAAAATCTCTTCTATTCAGAAGCATTTTATAGGCATTGCACCACAATGAACTAGCCATATCTGAGCAAGCTGCATTTCCAGGTGAGCATCACTGTGCATATAGCTATGTTTAACAGATTGAATCAAAACAGCAAATACTAAACCAGTAAATCATCCTAGATTTCAAGAACTTAATGTGTAGGTCTTTATACAGAATTCCATGGTGACTACCAGACACAAACTGGTAGTTTATTCACAAACTTTGATGCCAACTCTTGACCTGTCTTTGGATTCAGATTTTTTTTAGCAGATACTGGCCTGAATGACATGTCCCGAAATAACCACAGAAAAGCACTTTGCCCCAGGTAAAAAACACCTTCTAGTGCTTCCACACGTACAGCATTAAGTACTCTACATCTCGAATATCTGGCCTGGGCTGAGTAGCAATTCTGTATAATGCAATGGCTCTCGAACTCAGGAGTGAACAGGAGTGAACAGTGTAGTGAGAATATGGGGATAATGGGATTTGGTTGGTGGAAGCAAGAAGAGGTCAGGTGAGAAAGAACATGAAAAGCTTTGGGAAACTTCTACTTGGCCTTTGCATTTGTCACTTTCCTGCTTTCTTCCCTGTCTCCCTCTGACACTGCATGCTCTGCTCAGTCTGTCAGCCAAGGTAGCAACTTGGCTTGGGACAGACTTTTTCCATATTATGGCAGATGGCTCACAAAACTGGGATCCCTTCCAGTTTCCTCTCTACCCTGGCACTTCCCTTTTGTAGTATTTCAGGAGAACATACCATGGATGCTTAATAGTACTATTAATCAGAGCTGGGGAACCCAGGATGCCAATTAGTGAGGAATGTGACTTTCCTTGGCATCCATGGCTAGCCCAGACAGGAGAAAGACATGCTGGAGAAGGAAAGACTCCAAACACTTCTGTACTCCAGCCTTTGTATGGATCTGTACTGGATGTACATGGCAATGTTTTGGTAATGGAAAGGCTTTGGGGGGGGTGCTTGTCTCTGTGAGAGGAAGCTAGGCATTGCCCATGCTAGACACAGCAGCTTCCAGCCAGCCCTACAACAGACCCACCACAGTACACAGCTGAGCCCATCTGTCAAATGTCTGGTGCCTTTGTGAAAATGTATTTAAGAAAGGGTAAAAATGCCACATGCAGAGCAAGGAAAAAAAAAAACCCAAAACAAAACAAGGAATGAGAAACAGCAGGTGAAAATGCAGGTCAGAGGAAGGAAAGGAGGTGTTTCAGGTGCTGAAGCAGAGGTTCCCTTGTAGCCTATGGAAAAGCCTATGCTGGAGGAGATATCCACACTACATCTGTGGAGTACCTCACATTGCAGCATTGGATATTTCCTGAACGAACTGCAGTCCACAGACAGCCCACACTGGAGCAAGTCTTACCCTGAAGGACTGCAGACAGTGGAAGGAACCACACCGGAATAGGGAGGAAGGAGTGGCCAAGAGGCACTGTTATGGACTGACCATAACTCTCCATTCCCCATCCCTGCTTCACTACTTGGGAGGGGGCAGCAGAGGAGTTGGGAACGAAGGAGTGAAGTTGAACCTGAAAAAGGGGAAGGACACGGTAAGGTGGTGTTGTAAATTTTGCCTTTGTTTCTTACTGTCCAAATTTACTTTACCAGGAATAAATTAAATTAATATCTGCAAATCAAATCTGTTTTGCCCATGATGGTAGCTGATAATCAATCTTCCTGATTTTATTTTGACCCACAAGATTTTTCACCCTTTTTTTTCCCACCTGTCCTGTTGAGGAAGGGGAGTATTTGAGAGGTTGGGTGGGAGTTTGGCCCTTACTCAAGGTTAATCCATCAGAGGGTCCTAGATCTAGCTATAAACAGATGCAGAAACCCCTGCTGGAAGCTTGGGTCCAGGATGTGAGAATGAGTATAGCTGGAAAAGCCAGGCAAAGCTAGTAGTAGTGGTTTTGCTGAAACCTGAATTGCAAGGATCATTAATGAAAGATGGTGTGACAGAAAAACTATTATGTTCCAAAGGGTAGAGTTTAGAGTGAAGTGGCTAGTGATACTTATTAAGATAGGGATCCACTATCTTATCTCCCAGCATACCATTTCCTCCAACTTTAAAGAAGGGTAAATATCTCTTTTTGACATAGTTCAATTAAACTGAGTTCAGTCTTTTGCAAGGACTGAAAATGAGGCTGTGAAGTAAGAATGCTAATATGTGATTAGGCAGAGTATCTTTACATGTAATGGCATTATACATTGTAAAAGGCAAAGTATCTTCACATGTAAAGGCAATATACATTGTAAAAGTGTTACTCTCTTACCTTTAAAGAAACACAAATCACATTCAATGCTTCCTTAATCTGAGGGTGATGTGATTCATGAACTAGCTCCTCACAGATCCAAATACCAAGGCTGCAAAGAGCAACACATCTGCAAAGCAACGTTGAAGGACAAGTTGTTGAGAAACACGCTACAAGAATGTGCAATTTTTATGATTCACAATATGTCTTGCTAAAATCTAATAAACCAAACCACAGCCTCATACTAGCTACTGTGAAGAAAATCAACTCTGTCATGACTAATGTCATCACAATATTTTGAAAAGAACTAAACAAAACCCTTTACAATGCTGCAACTTATTTAAAAATGAGAAAGAAATCCCAAGTACTGTGTTGAAGGCAGAGGAAAGGGCAAAAGAAGCACACTTATGCTGAAAAAAAGCTGAAAAAACCAAAAGACATCAAGTACTACTGCACCTGTATGCGCTTTTTGGATTAAAAATACTGCCTGAAATAAATGTATGGGAAATTAATATATATTTTCTTAAGACAAAGTAAAACTGCTAGAGACAGTATACATACTGTGATTAAATACTTCAACTTTTGTTGTTCTTTCTTCACTTAAACTCAGAAAATAGAAAAGAAGTGTAAAAGCAGAGAGCTTTTAGGTAACTATTTTCAAATTAGAAGAGGTGGATGTAGTAGGTTCAGAAATGTTAAGGAGCTATCGTAAGCAATCTGTGAATCGTTAATAATTATCTTCAAGAACACAGACTGCAAATATTTTGGAAACAAATTCAGAATTCAAAATCCTCTGGATAAAATTGGAAAGCAATCCAAATCAACAAGATGATAGTTGGTCATGGGAATTGCAAAGCATTACATCTGGGAAGGAAAAATCATATGCTAGAACTGAAAAAGAAGTGCCTATGAAGCCTGTGCTGTAGAAAACGATTTTAAGGCTACACAGAATCATGAAACTGCCATCAGGTAGCAAAAATACATCTTGGAATTAATGCTACGTGATAGTGTAAGTAAGATGTTAAACCACCATTTTGTGTGCACTGTCACTAAAATCTTAACTGCAAGATCGCCTCCATTACATTTTGATTTAAGAATAAAGACAAGCTTAAGAGAGTCTAGGAAGTAGTGACAAAAATAATAAACAGCTTTGGGAAATATTACATATGGAGGAGAAGTTGAAGTGTGTATTGAGTGTAAGTCACAATTAAGCAAGGAAATAGTAAGAAATCTGACATGCAGTAAGTCACTGAAGAGTGAAAAGATTTCTCCTATACACTGGTCATAAACCCAACCTGACTGAAAATAATAGTTAAGTATTATAACAGTCTATCTAATATTTCTGTAACTCTCCTCTTGGAGAAAATTTTCAGCACGTTTAGCCAAGCTACTCTCAGGAATGTTTTAAACACCCCAGCCTCACAGAAGGGGAGCTTACAGAAATCATAGAATCATAGA